ACACGCTGAGGGAGAGGCTGATCTGAAGTGGCGGACAGGAAGCCGTTAAGGGAACAGCAGGAACAAAGCTGGAAATGGTCATCTTATGGCTAAATTTAGGCCAAATTAAAAATGCCCGGGCTCTTTATAAAGTCATTTGGCAGAAACTACAATGTTGTTTGGGGGAGTAGTTAGTCAGAATATACAAGAATTTTTCTTAAGCACTTTGGCAAAAAAAAAAAAAAAAAAGCATTTTGTTCAAAAACAGCTATGGGCCTTGCTTTCAGGAAGTAATACCCTGGAATTTTAGAAGCAGGCTCTAAGATGCTGATTGTTGTCTCAGGAAGGGTTCCATTCTGTCTGCACCCTCTCTGCCATAAGAAAGTGACTATGTCAGTACTCAAGAGCATGTCACTTAACTGCTGTTTATTTCCATTTGTTACTTTATACAATGGCATGACAGTATTTCCCCCTTGAACTATATCATTCAGGGATCTCCAGAGACAGAATCAATAGTGTGAGTGTGTGACTCTGTGTGTGTGTGTGTGTGTGTGTGTGTGTGTGTGTGTATGGATTGATTTATTTTAAGGAACTGGCTCATATAATCGTGGGGGCTGGCAGATCTAAAATTTGTAGGGCAGGCCAGAAGTCCGGAAACTCAGGCAGAATTCCTTTAACTATCAAAGTTATTGAGGGTAATCTTCATTTAAAGTCAGCTGATTGTAAAAGTTAATCACATCTACAAAATACCTTCACAAGCAACAGAGAGACGTGTCTGACACAACAACTGGACACCACAGCCTCGCTAAGGTGACATACAAAATTAACCATTAATAGGGTGAAGGCTTAGCAATCAGTTTTTGCTAAACAAGTAAAATTAGTCAAGACAAATAATTTTAGTCCTTACTGCATTAAAATAATATCTATTATCAAGGTGAGAGTTGTGCACATATTACAATTTTTGGAGGAAGAGGGGAGGACTGATCTAAAAAAAGTAGTTTTCCTCGTCACAGTACATTTAACCAAAGGTGTCACAGCTAAGTGAATCGAGAGTATCAGACAGGAAAGGAATCTAAGAAGCGAGAATGTGCTTCTTGTGAATTTTCTGATGTTTGCTCTGTACTGCATACTCGGTATCTTCTTTGGAATTTGAGGGCACAGAGCCCACCCATCAAGACTTTTAAGTCTGATAATTAAGCTACAGAGAGGAATTTCAGTGAATGACTATGTATGGGGCGGTGTCCTTCCATGATTCTAGTATCGGCAGAACTGACTTCATTGGTTGTGATTTAAAACAGTTCGGAAAATGTCACTGTCTTTGAATAAGGAGAAAACCCAGTAAACACAGTAGAGGCAGTTCTGACTCCCCTTCTGCACACATTCCGTCATGGCTGGCTAGCAAGGCTACGCTTTTGTGTCGGCTCCAGTATCACACCCTTCACTTTGTTTTTCAGAGTGAAGACTTAATCCTTTGTATTAACAATGTTTTTAAATGGCACCTGTTGATTTTTGGAGAGAAGTGTAGAAGGAAGAGTGCATTTACAGATGATAATGGGGAGAATCTGGCTCATGGTGGCTGATTCCTTGTGGTTTTAATAGGAGAGACATGTTTCAGCTATGTCTTAGCCAAGTCGAGAAGCGTAATTGCTTTTGACCATGTGCTAAAATATTCCTTTACATTGCCTTCAAAACAAGTGTTAAGTTTGGTCGCTTCTCAACTAATCAATTAAGGAAACCTGACTGTCATCAGGGAGGTTAAAAAATAATCCTTACGGTACATTTAAACTCTTCCAAGATATTTACAAGTTGTTGAAAGTTGAAAAGCTGTCAAATTCTTGCTATCAAATGTTGATTATTTGAAAGGATTTATCCAGGAATGTCCACTTAAAATGAAAATTAAATCATAACTTTACATTTGTACATCTTAAGGAGAGCCATTTCCCCCCAGTGTATTCTAGAAATGTGTGGAATTTTTGATTCTTTGAGAAATATAGGTAAGTCAGCTCTGCTGCAGAAATAAAAAGTTCCGGGACGTAAATTTAGATGTAGATAGTCACATTCTTATAGCAGAGAAGGTGCAGACAGCGTGGAACCCCTCCTGAGACAATAATCAGCATCTTAGAGCCTGCTTCTAAAATTCCAGGATATTACTTCCTGAAAGCAAGGCCCATAGCTGTTCTTGAACAAAATGATTTTTGGTTTTTTTTGGCCAAAGTGCTTAAGAAAAATCCTTGTACATTCTAACTATTCTCCCAAACAATATTACAGTTTCTGCCAAATGACTTTATAAAGAGCCTGGGCATTTTTAATTTGGCCTAAATTTAGCTATAAGATGACCATTTCCAGCCTTGTTCCTGCCGTTCCCTTAACGGCTTCCTGTCCGCCACTTCAGATCAGGCTCTCCCTCAGCGTGTGTACAGTTATCTTTTGTCCCGCTGCCCCCTTTGCTACCTTGTAGCTGATGGTTGGAGTTTCTAGAGCACAGGGCTGCTGTCTTACCAGCCACACAGGGCCCAGCTCACAGCGGAGGGTTAGTATATAACTGACAGCTGCCAGGTGCTGTACTAGCAGGACTGGGTCAATCAGTGACTGTAACTGATGCTGAATGTTACGAACCACATACTTTTGAGCTATTCAATTTAACTTGACTAAAATGTCTTCAAAAACCTGAGGTATATTGAAGGGTTACTGAGCTGAATAGCCACATGTAGTTGACTCATAGATGAATCAGATTTGGTGCTTGTACGCCAAGCAGGGAGATGTCAGCCTAACTACTTGTGTCGATACAAAGCACATGGGGTCTGCATACATGGGGTCTTTTACTTACTGAAAACACCTGGATGGGCCTTATGCTAGAATGCTGGTGTTTCTCTACCTTGCTGCACATTACAATCACCGGAGGGACTTTAAAAACGCAAAGACATGCCTAGACCCATCTTGAATGAAAAATATCTTGGGGGAGGGGTCTGGTCATCAGTATTTTTTTAAAAAATAGCTCCCAGGTGACCAGTGTGTGGCCAGGGTGGGAATCTCTGGGCCAGATGGATTTCACAGCCTTTACTAGGGTCCAGGCTACGCTTGGACTTCAGCAGGTCTGGGGCTACTGAAGCTGGGATCCCAGGTGCGTTCTAGAAACAGTACCATGGTCTATGGAAAACTGAGTGAGAATACAGCTTTTCCCATCAGGATGCTGGAGCTGAAGCAATCTGACTGTTGGCCGAGTAAAACTGGGTACACTAAATTTAGTTAGCCTTAAAATTTAACTTCTTCAAGTAAGAATGGGTATCAAGAAAATATTGGGCTGTTGGAAAAGTCATGATGTATTTTTTTCTCTGTTTTTCGTTGCAAAAACGCGTCATGCGTTTTCCGACAACCCAATAACATCCACTGCAGTCATTCATTGAAAGACAGGAGTTAGCAATACCTTTTTGGCTTCCTCCGCTGTGACAGAGCTTCCAGAGGCTTCATCTTTAGTGATCAGAGTAAGTCCATCTAAAAAATAACCCACAGAGTAGAATCCAAGTACAGAATCAACCCCAATCCCACCTTCCTTTACACCACTGGTTCTCAACCTGTGGGTCGCGACCCCTTTGGGGGTCGAACGACCCTTTCACAGGGGTCGCTGGGTATTCGTATGTGGTCGTATCTGCATGTGGGCCTGGAGACGGATAGAGGAGCGGGGTCTCGGTTCCTAAGACCATTGAAAATGTGTGTTTTCCGATGGTCTTGGGCGACCCCTGGGAAAGGTTGAGAACCGCTGCTCTACACCATACCTCCTCCCATTTTGCACGGAGATTTTGAAAACTATGAAGGTTCTCTTCTCTATAAGGAATATAAGACTACAGAGGCACTTAACTCACCTTGTTCCTTCCGTCTTACGTTAGCCTGTCTCCTATTTTGGCTTGTGTAAAATAAATGCCACATCTCAAATGCTACCTGCTCCATGAAGCCTTCCTTGCTTAAATCCAGATAGAAATAATCTTTCCTTTAGATGTTCAGATTACCTTGTTTATTACCCCTTTGAAATGGCATCGTATCTTATCCTGTATAACTATCTGTATAAATGTTCCCTCTCGTTAACAGAACTATACACTTTTCTCTAGAACAGGGACAAGGTTTTATTCACTTGTGTATTCCCTGCAACATACAGTACACAGCAGCAGCTCGGTAAATAAATGATACCTGAATGACTTCTAGCAGTATCACTGGCTATTGATGGAATGGCAAGCAGGCTAAGATCGGGAAGAAACATGCTCTTACAATGGCCATGTCTATCATATAGCACACAATTTTAGCTCAGTGAGAGCAAATCAAGGATTGAAAAATCTACCCTTTAGTCTTCTCTTCTTCCTAGGATTTTTCTCCTGCCTCAAATGGCTGATGTGTGAAACACTTTCAGGAAAGCACATGCATTTAACATCTATTTGTACCTAGAAATGGCACAAGTCATGTGTATTCTCTCAATAGGATATAAACTCTCAGAAAATATCTATCTTATATATATCCTGTAAGTTTATTTTCAGTAAACAACGTGCTGGAGGCATTCAATAAATACCAAAACCAATGTCTTTCATCTGCTGGGTCAGTGGCAGAGACACATGTATGACCTGAGTAATCCCCACTCACCAACCATTCTAATTGCTTTTGCTCCCCAGTGTCGAAGTTAAAGGGTTGAAAAATTAACTGTCAGAGAAATGGCTGCCTGAGTGATGAAAAGCTGCCTGTTGGAAGCTGGACAGGGAGGGACGTAACTCCTTTATACAGAATTTGCACGGAAAGGTTGAAATTAATCTGGGGGACCCTACTTCAAGTGAAAAGTTTCCTACTTCTCAACACCATTGTTTTTATAATGTCTATTTTTAGTAGTTAATGCCTTATAGTTGGGTTCTAAAAGAAAATCAAGTCAGGTTTTAAAAAATGGGCAAAGAGCAATGAAGGGAATCAAACAGCAGCCTAAAGGTGAAAGAGTATGTTGCCCTCTTTCTAGGTTTAGTTTGCATTGGTCACAGTGCACAAGTGAGGAGCTGAGTGACTGATGCCTGAAGACGTTCGTCAGCTTCTGTGAAAAGCCCAAATCCATGCTGATGCAAGACAGCAGGAGAGCAACGTACAGGAGAGGTCAATGAAAACGCTGTGGATCCGGCAGAACTGAATGTGTCTACGAATCTGAGAAAGGGGGTAATTTTGTCCACATAACTTCTTTCAACAAACAGAAAGGCGCAATCTCGGAAACAGGTCATACTACACAGATTAAGATGGGACATGTAAATGTTTACTTATTATTTATCACTTTGATTTTATGCTTATTACGCAAGAATTGCAGTTCATTGGATCCTGAGCATTTCCCAAATCCACATGGAAAGTCATCACACAGTGTAATTTATATTTATATTTAGAAAAAAATAGCATAAATATTTGGAGAAAACAATAGCTTACCTTGAATGACAATTTCCCAGAAATGATTTAATTGTTTACTTTCCACTTTCTCTCGAAGGGCTTTCAGGAAATCGTTAAAGCGCTGCTCTTCTGAAAACTGGTGGCACAAAGGGGCAGAGGAGGTGGAAGTCAGAGCAAGTACAAAAACAAAGTCACCCCCAGACCGAAGTACTATATATACTGAATCCATCATATTTATAGAAAGTATATAAAATGGTCTTTGGTACACATCATTTCGAATTTCAGCTTTGTTTGTTGGGAATCTGAAATCCTCCCATCAGTGGTAGGTACAGAGCTTCTCAGAGGCACACAATTTTTGGTGGCCTGGTACTTTGTTTTATACCTTTCAATATAGACATTGAAACAAAAATATAGACATATTCAAACAAAAAGAGAGAATAGTTCACTGAATCCCTGTGTCCCCATTATGCAGCTTCGACAATGATCAACTCGGCCAATCCTGTTTCCTCTGCACCCCTGCCTTCTCCTCGCCACAGCCCTAGGGTTGTTTCGCAGCAAATTTCCATCATATTAC